TACCTTGCAAAGATGTATATATTCTTGACCTTAATCATTATATTTGTTCTTTCTGTAAGGTAGGACTTGGGAATTTTGTAAATTGAAATTCACAGGTCAGTGAAAGTTAAGTTAGTTGGTATAATTGAAAGTAGAATCCAAAGTTTATTTTCTAATATCTGAAAAGCTTTTTAAAGTATATTCTTAAAAAGAAGTATTCAAAATCAAGTCAATAAATAAAAATGTTGCTGTTCCTTCTTAGATTTGGGATCTAAACCATGCTCAACAATGGGATCCAACTGAATATTTTAGGGTTTTTAATCATTCTTGTTTTAGTTTATGACCCTTTGGGGGGGTCATTTGCAGTACCTAACTGAGCTTTTGTCAATCTGATTTTAATAAATTGTAGTTGAAAGTCCTATAGAAGAGAAGGAAGTAGCAATAATACTACACTTGCTTAAAAATAAAACAAAAACCCACCTGCGTTGGTTCAGTATTACTTGCACTGAGCTAACAAGTGTACTTAGTAATCTCTGGGCTCTGGGTATAGGATACTGATAGATGTCATTGAGATTTGGGAACTAAGAGAAGACCGAATTCAGATTAGGAATTGGTGCACGTTTGTGTTAGCTCCTCTGTTAATATGATTGTGCTCCAAAATTTAATTTAATGTTGCTCTAGAGTTTTATCTTTATTTTTGAAACAGTGCTTTCTCCTTAAGTGAGTCAGTAATACTCTCTACATTTTTGTTTTTATTGTTTATTGCTTCTACATTAAAAAGTAAATCTCTCTCCTGTGTTTCTTTTTGATAAATATCTATTGGTTATTCCTTTAGTAACATAAGCCTCCCTGTTTTAAAGAGTCGTGTTGTGTGCATAGGGCACTGGCCACATACCCTGAGGCTGGCAGGTTCGAACCCAGTCCAGCCAGCTAAACAACAACAACAAAATAGCCTGGTGGGCGTTGTGGTAGGATATTTGCTACTTGGGAGGCTGAGGCAAGAGAATCACTTAAGCCCAAGAGTTTGAGGTTGCTATGAGCTGTGTTGCCACGGTACTCTACCCAGGGTGACATAGTGAGACTCTGTCTCAAAAAAGAAAAACAGTCTTGTTGTGTTTATTTTTCCAAGCATGTTTTATGTTTGTGTAGTTGTTTTGTTTTCTGAGACAGTCTTGCTCAGCTGCCCCAGGCTAGCATGCCATGGCATCGGCCTAGCTCACAACAAACCCAAACTCCTGGGTTCAGGTGATCCTCCTGCCTCAGCCTCCTGAGTAGCTGGGACTATAGGTGCCCACCACAATACCTGGCTAATTTTTCTATTTTTAATAGAAACAGCGTTTCTCTCTTTCTCAGGCTGGTTTGAACTTGTGAGCTCAAGTGAGCCACGGGGCCCAACCAGTTTGTGCAGTTTTTATTGAGTTTTGCTAGTAGTTTTTACTAAAGAAAGCAAAATATTCTAGTTTTTGTGTGAATAGCCTTGGTATTTTTGAGGTAATTATTTTCACATCTGTGTAGTCAACTGTTCATCAAAAAGATTTTCGCATGTGAAATATTTATGTTTCAGAAATATACCTAGAAGTGACTTTGGTTTTACTTTAATATGGAAGGTTTTGCAGTATATGGCAGAATAACAATGAAAGAAACTTCAGTTCTAGGCTGAGCTGTGACTTTATGAAATTATAATCATGGTAAGTCAGTTAGCCTTTCTGGATCTATTTCATCAATGAAGTGATCCTCCATTCTCTAACTTTCTAAGTTAAAATCAAAACTGTTCCCTCCCACCCCTGAAAAACCAGCCTCTTTCAATGCAAGAATTGTTTATGGTCAATTATAAGTAATGATAGAAATGGCTTTGGTTAATCCAAGAGGTCATGGTATCCATTGTAGACACAGATGACATTTGGAGGTGAGACCTGAGAGTGGGAAGCCCTGAGATTTATGATGCCACATATATTTAGCTTAGAAGACAATGTGAAATGGAAACAGGAGCATAAATAACTAGGATATTTGTTCTTTTAGCAGATAAACCATATTTTATTGGGACTAACTGCTTCTTGACTGCTGGTTCTAAACTGCATATGTTAGAAAGATGAGTAATTATGTTTTGGCACGAGTGGTTGTTACACAATGTTTAACACTGTTGAGTAGCATAGTTTAAAATCCCAAATCCTGATAGGAAGGTGATCTGTTGTATGGTATCTGGTACTTTTTAACCTATTCAGATAAAATACCATCTTAGAAGTGAAAGCCATAGCTCTTTACCTGTGGTGGTGGTCACTTAGAAGATGCCTACTACACAGGTGTGCAAGAATCTACCACATCAGGGCTAACGCTCATGTGTACACATACACACATGTGCATGCAGACACACACCTGCATGTTTTTCATTAAGCAGAAAACTGGAAATTTTAAATTTATATTTCGTGGGCAGCTCCCCTAACTCAGTGGGTAGGGCACCGGCCACATACACCCAGTCTGGCAGGTTTGAACCTGGCCCTGGTCAACAAAAACAGCAATGACAACTGCAACAACAACAAAAGCCAGGCGTTATGGCAGGCCACCTGTGGTCCCAGCTACTTGAGAGGCTAAGGCAAGGGAATCACTTAAAGCCAAGCGATTGAAGTTGAGTGAGCTGTGACGCCATGGCATTCTACCCATGGTAACAACTTGAGACTCTGTCTCAAAAAAAAAAAAAATTATATTTCATTTCAATAATGCAGGTTCCTTAAAATTTGAAAAAATTTCAAGAGGAAAAAACTAGGAATAATACACAAACACAAAACTTTGTTGTATTTTTCTCTCTGTGTACAAAGGGGTTTTTTTTGTTTTTGTTTTCTGAGACAGAGTCTCACTATGTTGCGCTTGGTGCTATGGCGTCACAGCTCACAGCAACCTCCAACTCTTGGGCTTAAACAATTCTCTTGCCTCAGCCTCCCAAGTAGCTGGGACTACAGACACTCGCCACAACACCTGGCAATTTTTTTGGTTGCAGCTGTCATTGTTTAGCAGGCCCAGGCCAGGCACGAACCTGGCAGCCTTGGTGTATGTGGCTGGCGTCCTACTCACTGTGCTACAGGTGCCGAGCCAACGGAGGTATTTTTACATAGTTGTGATCCTGTACAACTATTATACAATTGTAGCATTTTTTTAACTGTAGCATTTTTAATTTTTTAATTAAGAATAATTTGTACTTATTTTAAAATTCAAATTATGTTGATGTGTAAGAAAGGTGAAAATGCACCTCCATTTTCTGCTTCCAGTCAATAGTTTTGTACATTTTTCCAAGTCATTGTATGTACATTGAAATCCACACACTCTTAAACGGCTGGTATTCTGTCATTTTTTCCTATGAAGAAGTATATTGTGGGTTGGTGCCTGTGGCTCAAAGGAGTAGGGCTCCGGCCCCACATACCAGAGGTGGTGGGTTCAAACCTGGCCCTGGCCAAAAAAATAAAAAAAAAAAAAAGATATTGTAGACATAGCCCTGTATTGATAGGGATCTGTGTAGAGCAGCACTGTCCAATAGAAGTATAATGTGAGCCACTTAATGTCATTTTTGTTTTTCTAGGAGTAATCACATTAAAAAGTAGAAGGAAACAAGTGAACTATTTGTAATAAAATTTCTTAAATCTGGCACATATTCTCCTTTTGAGCATATCTCATTTCAGGTGTAACCTTTTCATTGGAATTACTTGATCTGTATTTAGAGTTTATAGAACTTATAGTAGCAAAAGTAGATTCATATGCCCATTTTTTCCTAAATATACTTAAAAGTTTTCTAGTAACTAAATTTAAATTTCAGTTAATTAAAATAAATGCAATTGCACCTCATTTGCCCTAAACCCATTTTAAGTGTTCTATATAGCTGCCATTGGTTAGTGAATAAGTAGTGAATTTAGATTACCCTTTATTATTCATTCATTTATTTATTTATTTTGAGACAGAGTGTCAGTATGTCACCCGTGGTAGAGTGCTGTAGCATCACAGCTCACAGCAACCTCCAACTCTTGGGCTTAAGCGATTCTCTTGCCTCAGCCTTCCAAGTAGCTGGCACTACAGGTGCCCACCACAACGCCAGGTTATTTTTTTGTTGCAGTTGTCATTGCTGTTTAGCTGGCCCAGGCTGGGCTCAAACTCGTCAGCCTTGGTGTATATGGCCAGCACCCTACCCACTGAGCTACGGGCGCCGAATAGATTACCCTTTGTAATAGTTGTGTATTTTCTGTGATAACATTTATTTAGTACCTACTGTATTGTTGGCTCCTGCTAGTCATGCATTATGTATTATCTCTATTAATCTCCACCATGACCCTATGAGGTACTATTATCCCAAATGTACAGAGAAATAGACGCTTAGGGAATTTGGGTAATTTGCCCAACTTTGCACAGCTATTAAAAAGCACCACTAGGCCAGACATGGTGGTTCATGCCTATAATTCCAGCACTGTGGGAGGATCAGTTGAGGCCAAGAGTTTAGCCTGGACCACACGGTCAGACTCTGTCTCTACAAAAAGTAAGAAAAAATTAGCTAGACATGGTGGCACATGACTGTAGTCTCAGCCACTAAGGAGGGTGGGGTGGGAGGATTGCTTGAGCCTAGGAGCTTGAGGTTACAGTGAGCTATGAACATGCCACCTCACTCCAGCCTGTGTAGCAGAGTGAGACTCTTAAAAATAAATAAAAAACAACTAAGTATTGAATCTTGGTCTTTGACATGAAAGATCATGCCCTTAACCTCTTCTCTAATCTGGTTCTGTTAGGATTCATTTTATCATTGATTTACCAGTAGATATCTTGGTTATTGTTAATTTTTGGCTACTGCAAACCATACTTTAGTGACCATCTTTGTGAGCATACCCAGATATTTGTGTAAGTAGTGAAGAAGTCATTGAGAATACATATTTTAAATATTAATATTTTCAAAGGATGCCACAAAAAGACAATATGCTGTAGGTGTTTTGTTTGTTTGTTTTGAGACAGAGTCTCACTATGTCACCCTCGGTAGAGTGCTGTGGCATCACAGCTCACAGCAGCCTCTAACTCTTGGGTTTAAGCAATTCTCTTGCCTCAGCCTCCCAAGTGGCTGGGACTACAGGCACCCACCACAATGCCCAGCTATTTTCTTGTTGCAGTTGTCATTGTTTAGCAGGCCTGGGCTGGGCTCGAACCCACCAGCCTCGGTGCATGTGGCTGGCACCGTAACCACTGTGCAATGGGCACTGAGCCATCCAGTTATATTTCTAATAAAATATCAGATTTCTAGATTTCTTACCATCATCACCAACACTAGGTGTTATCAATCGTTTTCATCTGTCCTGATATAGTTGAGAAAGCTCTCTCTTAGTCCCACTTCTTTGCTTGTTAGTATATCTATTTGTACTTGATCATTTGTGTGGTTTTTTAATCAGGTTTTGTTCACTGAATGCTCCTCATAAGCACTATGCTTAGTGCATAATGCCTGGTACATAAGACTGTGTAGTGCAGATTTCTCTGTGTCTGGCATACATTAGACATCAGTGTTTCCTTTATTTGGACACTCTACTTATGTCTGCTTTTCTCTCATTTTATAAGTAGTACTGCTTTGTACATCCTTACATTTCTTAGGTATATATTTTATTTCCTTAAATTCCTTTTAGTGGAACTGTTGAGTCAAGATAGTGAGTATTTTCAGAATCTTGATAACTGAATGACAAATTTATTTTTAAAGGGTTGATCCAGTTTACCATCCATCCATTGTTTGGGAGCAGTAGTTGATTCTTTAACATTTTTATTAAAATACAACAATACAGAAAGTGCACGTACCCTAAGTGTACAGCCTGATGAATTTGTAAACTGAAGCATCCAGAAGTACTGCAGAGCGTTAGCGCACCCCTAGAAGCCTGCCTGTGCTCTGCTGCAGTCACACCTCCAACCCTCACCCCGACTGTTGGCAGCAGGTACCTTCTATGTAGAATGTTCACAGGCTAACATGTCACTTTCCCACACATTTGTGTTGATATTTTTATTATGCAAGTAATGTGTTCATACTTTTATAAAATGCCTTGTGTGTTTTAAAAAGCACGTGTTATCCCCTTAGTGAACATTTCAGATGTTAAATAAACGTGATTGTTTGAATGACTATCAGAATGTCATCTTTAATTGTTAACTAGGAAAGGATTCCTATAGTCCAGGATTACCATAATGGTCAGTCTCTCTTTCTGAGGCTTCTAGATTTTGTGTAAACCAAAACTTCTCAGATTTCAGGTATAAGACTCACAGGGATATTTGTGAGTCTGATTCAAGACTCTGACTTAGTAGGTCTGGATGGGACCACGGGAACTGCATTTTTTTTAATGTGGATTTTTTTTTTTTTTTTTTTTTTGAGATAGTCTCTTTCTTTGTCACATAGGCTGGAGTGCAATGGCACAATTATAGCTCACTGTAGCTCACCATAACTTCAAACTCCTGGGCTCAAGCAATCCTCCCACCTCAGCCTCCCAAGTAGGTGGGACTATAGGCATGTGCTACTATACCTGGCTAATTTTTCTGAGACAAGGTCTCACTATGTTGCCCAGGTTGAACTCCTGACCTCAAGTGGTCTCCCACCTGCCCTCCCAGAGGTCTAAGATTATATCATGAGCTGCTGAACCTAGCTATAGCTACATTATTTTTAATTTTTTTTTACATATTTTCATAAAGTTTTTATTGATACTTAATAGATCAACATGTTTAGGGTTCACGTGATATTTTGATAAATGTGTACAGTGTATAATGATCAAATCAAGGTAATTGGGAAATCTGTTACCTTAAATCTGTATTTTTGAAATATATAATTGATTATTGTTAACTATAGTCTTCCTGCTGATTTGTTGTACACTAGGTCTTGTATCTTCGGTCTAACTGTGTTTTTGTACATTTTAGTCAACTGCTGTCAGCCCCACCTCAACACTCTTTCCAGCCTCAGATAACCACCTATTTATTCTCATTTTCATAAAGTCCACTTTTTAAGCTCCCACATATGAATGAGAATGTGCAATATTTGTCTTCCTGTGCCGGGCTTGTTTCACTTCTCATAACGACCTCTGAGAGAACTGCAGTTTCAATAGTACCTCAGGTGACTGCCATGTGAGCAGGGGCCTCATTTGTATCATTCGCTTCCCTGTGCCCGGCACACATTAGACATCAGTATTTGCTAAGTGAGGAAATGAGTGCTTTGAAAGTTGAAGCAAGGCGGTTGTTACTCAGACGTACCACAGCAGGAATTAGAAAAGCTGTGTGGCACTGTCGGATCCACTGTTTACTTGTCATGGGGCTTGGAAGAAGATTCTGAAAGTCTCATACCTCAACATGTGCATGTATAAAATTATCGACTTGCCAACAGAAAATCATAAAGTATTTTGACAGGTTTTTTTTTTTTAAGAAACTTGTATTACAGTCATCATGTACTTAGTTCAAACCATTTTAGAGTACATTGGATTGTGGTTAAATATGATAAGCAAAATTGCTTATATATAATATTTGCTTAGAATAGGTAATAAATATATTCATTTTTTTCACACAAAATGATTTTATATGTCACTCTAGAAATTCTGATATAGTCTATACTTGGCATGAATCCACCTCAGAAATGAGTGACCTGTTGTACCAGTACTCAAAAGTATTAATGGTAAATATACTTTATACTAAAGCGCACAGTTTTTTACAAATTATTTTAAAAGATGCCAGCCTTTGAGCACATGCTTTTATGTTTGTACCTCATTTGTTAGCTATATGACTTTTAGAAAGTATCAGTCTCTCTGGACCTAAGTCTCCTCAACCTTAAAATGGAAATAAAATCTCCTTCCCAGGGTCATTGTGAGAATTGAGTAATACTGGATGGAGGTGTTTAGCCCTGTTTCTGGCCCATAGTAGGTATCCAGTAAATGTTAGTTTTCTTTTCTCCTATTTAAATTTAATGTCCAGGTTACCTCTTTTTAAGGGAATGTCTTTTTATTTTCTTTATTTTTGAGTGAAAACAAAACCAAAAAATTGTCCTTTTGTTTACAAAGAAATGTGAATAAATTATGTGTATTTTGCTAATATATGTATTATTAACCATGGTTTTGTTTAATAGGATATTTTTCATTTGTTTTCTGGTCTTCTGCCTCATTAGGACATGAAAGATCAGATGTCAACTTCATCGGTGCAGGCCTTAGCTGAAAGGAAAAACAGACAGGTGAGAAAACAACAGAATATAAATATCAGTCAAATATGTATATACATATATGTATATGGCTCAACAATTTGGATTCTTAAAATGCTGACCATCCATGGATCAAGTAATCAAGCAGAAGACTGGAGTGACACTGGGGGTTGAGTGAAAGTCCAGGCAGCCTCCTCCCTGAGTGCTGCTGTCCACTTCTCCCTCCCTCCCTTTCCTTCCCCTCTGGTCCTCTGCTCTGGGCTCCCATAGTACCTTCTGCTTAGCCTCGTTATAAACTTACCACAGACTACTTTATTCATGTGTTTATTCTGCACCTGTTGAGCACATTCTGTGTGCCAGGCTCTCTGCCAAGGACTATAATCACTTATTGTCCTTCTCCCTGCTGGACCCATGCTCCTTGAGAATGAGGAGGGATTGTGTCTCTCTCTTTTTTTTTTTAATCTCTAGCAGTTACTTCATTGCCTACCCATAGAACTCACTAGACATTTAAGAATTGAAATTTGATGGAAAGACATTTGAGGAACATTGTATATGTTAAATTAGATCTCTGTTTTAAGTAAATTACACACTTTGGTATAATAGAAACTCCATTCTAGTTGTTAAAATACAATCCTTTTAAAAAATAATCAATGGTCATCTAGAAATTAAACTTGAATTTAAATTGATATTTGATTTAAATTCTTACAGTGTGGCAGAATGGTTTTTTGCCTGTTGCTAAACTGTTAGATGATTTTTTTTTTTTTTTGGACAGAAATAGTTTTCTTAAATTCTGAGGATATCCATTTTGTTTAGGAGTAAGAAAGGCTTTATGATAATATTTGCTTTAAATGGCTTATCTTAACCTCATTCTATTTAGATTCCAGAAAGTTACCAATAATTTCTTTAATAGCCTGTTAACTTGAGAAATCAGCTCACTATTTTTACTAACTAGCAATTGGTACTTAATAACATAAATTCTTCCTTTATACCAGTGGATGTTTGTAGAGCCACTTAATTTTGAAAACAGGTTATTATAAGAGATTGAAGGATGGGGGAGGTTCTATAAACCACTTACTTACTTTTTCTGTTTTTTCCCCTGAATTTCAGGTTTTGAGTTATTTTGTGATTTTTTTTCTTCCTTTGTATCTACCCTACTTGGCTCTTTGTCCAGACTGTACAGCTGGGAAAAGCTTTTAGCTAGCCCAGTCCATGTGGCTGTAACTCTTGAAGAAGCTAGTACATGGCCTCAAGGTGACTAGTTCAGACTTCCCTTTGAGTCTTGAGTGTATAGGAAGGTGAGTGACCGTGTCTGAAGTAGTTAATAACAGTGAAATGGGTAACCTATCCTCTGTTATTCTTAATTTGAATGTTTTATTCTCTAATAATACAGTTGTGCTAATGTAAATAAATTGGGCATTTATACAGTGCCTGTCCAAGTACAGCTTAGAATTTTGTTTTTTAGGCCATGAGTGAAATGTTGTAGAGTCACAGATTTTCAAGGACTATCAGGGCCAGGGTTCTTCAGGAACTCAAATGGGCAGGTAGCAGGTACTGTGCTGCTCCCTGCCTCCCCAGCACATCTTTCTGTGGCACCCATACATAGGTACCTCTTCTAGTGCTCAGGGCCCTCTTTCCCATTAAGGCAGACTCCTGGTCAGACTGATGAACTCTAAGGTACTTAACAATAAGATGTAGATAACTCATCCCACTAAATGTAGACTATCGAAAATGTAAAATAGTAGCCCTAATTGTGGCCCCAGGAGCATAAAGGCCCTGATTATGTCCCAGTTCTCTGTCCTTAGCCTAACAGTACACAATAGCCTTTCTCTGACTCAAAAAAAAAATTGTCAGTAGGCCCCAGTGTCCTTCATAGAGGTCCTTAGAGTCTTTGGATCAGAAGGAATAGAATATTTTCAATCTTGACAGCCTTAAGACCAGGTCAAGGCAGAGCCACCCACAAAAAGCCTTGGGTCATTTTTACACCAGAGATACTTACCATCCACTCTCTTAACTGGACAGAAGCCATGGGCCATTGGAAGCTCTCTCAAGAAGAGCTTCTAACAACTGAGCTGCTGAGAAGCTCTTCACAAACCCCGTCAGATCTCAGGGCTTTGCATCCTGCACTTCCCCGATCTTAGTCTCTGAAGGCTGGCCCTGTGACAGGTCACCCCTGAAAGTCAGCTGAGGAAGTCATTGTCAGGGTGGAAGAAGGGCGTGGGGCTGTGGGAAGAGTTTTCAGAGAACCAAGTAATCAGTCAAGCTTTTAATAGTGCTGGAGATTAAAAGTAAGGAGATTTGGCAACTTTAAAAGGGAAAAGAACCATAGTCACTATAATGTCTTCTGCTTCTTGGTGCAAGGCTGGTGTGAACAGTTACTTTGACTCAAGGCTTATGGGGATCTAGTCAAAACCACATTCTTGTCTGACCTTTCATCTTAAAGGAAGACATACCCACACTTACCCATTTTTGGCCTCAATCCCTTGAATTTACACTTGGGAAACCTGAGCCTGGTGTCTGGGGGCCCTGGTGGAGAACTGGTGGATGTAAGGGCAGCACTTGCTCAGATTGTCAGGCATTCCTTGTGGTCGTCTCTGCTAGATGAGGTAACCCTAGTTATGGTCTGGGAAGCCCGTAGTCTTTTATAGTAGTTCAACTGAAAAGTATTGAATTTATTTGTGAGTAAGACTTAACAGACATTGATGGCTCTTATGCCTTCTGTGTGTGAGAGGCTGTGAACTTACCTCTTATCATACCAGGGATTTCTATCCTTAGACCCCCAAAGGCAAAACTTCCTTGTGTCATACATTAGAGGACAAGAAAAGGGCTCTAGATCTTTGGAATCAGTTTGATTAGTACGTATAGGTCACTTGTAAACTTCCGTAGGTGCTAGGGAAATCTCTTCAAGAGACCAAGTGTTTTTACATTGTAATGAAGTATATAGATGGGTGTTTATTAGCACAGACATGTATTTGCATTTTAAGGGGACAGAGTCCATTTATGAGGCCCCTTGGGAAAGCTTAAAGACAAGTAAGGCCCTTTCTAGCATTCCTTAAATTGTATCACACAGGCACCAGCCACACCACTACATTAAAGCCTAGCTGACCTGACCCAGGGGAAAAATGGATTAAGAGAAATGTGAAAACTCTTAAGTTTACTCTTGATGTATCACTTATTCAGAAATGCTCTTGATGTATCACTTATTCAGAAATACTAACCATTAGTTTCTCCTGACTCCCTGCTCACACAGGCGCTGCTGGGAGACAGTGGCAGCCAGAACTGGAACACTGGAACAACAGACAAATACGGACGCCTAGACCGGGAGCTGCAGTTAGCCAATTCCCATTTCATTGAGGAGCAGCAGGCACAGCAACAGGTACCCTGCGAGCAGTCAGCTGAGGATGGGTGGGAGGAGGAAGGGAGCCTCCTGTATGTACTCTGCCAGCCACCAGCTTTTGTTGTATGATGACAAGCTAGTTAAATCAGAGCTCGTCCTGAAGTTGACTGTATCTAAATGTGTAATAATTGCATATGTAAAGGTTTTTAAAACCTTGAAAGCATGAGTGCCTCAAGCTCAATTAGGTCTCTTAGGAAAAGCAGACCAGATATCTAAAACTGACAGGCAAGGCCGTTGGCTTTTCAAAATGAAAACAAAAACCCACTGCCCCAGCCACCATTTGTGTACTCAGGTTTTTGTTCATTTTTAACAAGCCGCCACTTTCAGAAATATCTCTTGTTTTTTTCATTGAAAATTATTGGTTGGTTCCATGATACACGAAAATGACTGCTTTGGTGGAGGTTATGGGACACAGGGAAAGTGCAGTTGGTTACGTCTGTGTTGTTGCTGACGTGCAGCCGTATTAATAAAAAGAAGCTACTGGTGATGTATCTGGGGACTCAAGGGTCTTCAGCCCATTGAAACGATCGGTTCTTAATACCATGTCTCTATGCACATGTAGATTTTGTGTTCTTCCATGGCATGTCTGCTTAACCAGCTGTCTACCTAAATTGCTATTAAATTAAGCAAACTTTTTTCTGTAAAAAGTGAGGAGGATGCAACACAATTAAAAGTAAATACTTGTCAGTGAGTAGTTGTCCTTGGGGTAACTTACTGCCACACAGCCTCCTCTGGTTTGTCCTTGAGCGCAAAGAGAGAGAGACTCCATGTGCATAGTTTTTCCACATCCAGAGATTGGCCAGACTCTTGTATTTAAGCTCTGGCTGTCTGTTGTGAATTGAGACCTTGATCTTGGCAGTGGGCGTCTACTCCCAAACATCCCCGTGTCTCAGTGGTCATCTGCACGTGTGCTTTCAGCCATTGTCTGTTCCCTCATTGGACTTCAGCCAAGCGGAGTAAATCTCTCCTGACGGTTTCAAGCCCCGCTGACTGCTCACAAGTTGGATCAGCAGGAGATATCAGTAGCTTGACAATCCAGCCTTTTGAGCAGTGTGTTCTCTCAGAGGCGACGGTCTGGTCCTTTGATTTCTGGGCTTTGCTTCTGAATGTGAATTGTCCCAAGTTGGCAAAGAAACTAGCAGCTGCTAGAGTGCTGGGCTTGGAACCAGGTAAGACGGATTTTAATTGCTTATTTCCCATTTCTCTGGCACCAGTTGATCGTGGAACAGCAGGATGAGCAGTTGGAGCTGGTCTCTGGCAGCATCGGGGTGCTGAAGAACATGTCCCAGCGCATCGGAGGGGAGCTGGAGGAGCAGGCAGTGTGAGTATTGAGATGCCCTCTCGCGCAGTGAAATTGAGGGGAAAAGCCATCCTATGCGACCCTGGAAATCCTGGCAGTTACACGGCTGGTAAACTGAAGCTGTTTTAGTTTCTGCTGCATTTTTATTCTGTCTTAAAGAGCAGCTTCTCCAAAAGAAGCAGATCTATTTAATAAAATTTACAACGGGTTTAGAGAAAGTTATTATTACAATATTTTTAACCACCTCCAAAGACAGATAAAAATTCCTCTGCACAGATACTTGAAATACAATTACAAATGGGATTTTGAAACAGAGAAGGCTCTGTGATCTTTGGAGATTTTTGTTCCAAAGAGAATAGGACATAAGCTAATTTAACTTTATCATCTGTGACTCTCCCACAACATCGAACAAAATTTTTTGGATAGATAAAATTTATCTCCCATTAACAAAAAAAAATTTCTTAATAAATAAAAATAAGAAAATACAACTTGGGTTTCTTTGTTTTTTCTTAAGAATAGTCTCTTTTGACTCTGAAGTATGATGGCAAAAATAGTAAACAGTACCACACAGTACGTTTACCATTTCACAATTTTTTCTGAAGAAAAGTAAGATGGTCCACCATGATATTTCAGATATTTCCTATCTCATCCTTATGTTTATTATTACACATTCTTTCATTATAAATTGTCACTGGGCACCTGTTCTCCATCAGGCCCTCTGGGAGACCCTAGGGATATAGGACCAAATAGAGTAGACAGTGTCTCTGCCATCCTAAGAGTTTGTCACTTACTGGGAAGAGCAGACATTGTGTAAATGGAGGCAGGTCATTAAGTCACAGCAGAGAAGCAGAAGGGCCGTTGTGGCAGCACGGGTGCAGGCTGCCTGGAAAGCTCTACCTTAGCCTAAAGTCCTGGAAGGATGTGTAGAGTAGTGAGGTGAGGTGAGAGTCGGTGTGGGGGAGCAGGGGAGGAGAGCGTGTGTAGGAGGAAGAACACACCCTGTGAAGATAGGAGCAGAAAGGTGACATCCAGAGACAGAGAGCAGGCCAGGGAAGGCCTTGTCAGTGTGCTGAGGAGGTGTGATCAGGTGTCAGGCCCATCTGTCCATGACCGAGATAATGTCCTGGAGAAGAGCCAGGCAGAAAGCTGGAATGGCAGGGATCAAGGCACAAATGCTTACTTTCTATCTAAAATGGGTCAGAACCCAGTTTAGTTTCAGTTTGGGGATGAGAAGGAACTGATGACCTGAGCTTCTCTGTTGGTGAGTAGTTGATGATAGAGTCTGTGAGACTTTCAGTTAGTGATAGTGAATTGAACACAGCCCCCGATCTCTGCTCCCCCTCCAAAGCCCACAAGAACAATAATAAAGGGGTTTTTTAAAAAGGAGTAAAGCCTGTGGCATGGAATAACAAAGAATAGCCATAACATTAGATCCTAGAAAGTGAATAGATGATGCTCAACAGATTAGAAGAAGTTGAATCCTCAGCCACCAAAGGGAAACACCAAGAAGCAATGTGCTGCACACCCCAAACCCCTCTGCTATGAAGAGTGTCATAGTAATGTCAGTCATAGTAATGTCAGTGCCAACAGTAATATAATCAAATTATGTCTCATTTGTATCAGAGGAGAAAGGGAATGTAAGTAGGAAGGACACAGAGATGGGGAATAAAGTGGGATGAGAGCTAAATCCTATACTTTCTGAGTGCTAAGTTAATTGGTAAAGTCTAAAGGTGAAAGTCAGCATCCTAAGGTACAAGCGTGTTGCTTCCCGAAATGTAGAAAGCAAAGTTGGACGTGGAGGCTCACGTTCGTAATTTCAGCACTCCGGAAGGCCAAGACAGGTGGATTGCTTGAGCTCAGGAATTCAAGAGTGAGACCCTATCTATACTAAAAACAGAAAAACTAACTGGGCATTGTGGTGGGTGCCTGTAAGTCCCCCCTACTCCTGAGGCTGAGGCAAGAGGATCACTACAGCCCAAGAGTTTGAAGTTGCTGTGAGATTCAATGCCAGGGCATTCTACCCAGGGCAACAGAGTGAATAGAAAGCACCAAGAAAATAGCATAAGGAGTTGAACCTTTCAAGGAAATAGAGAACAATTATGTTTTTTCATAAAAAGCCTTATACAACTATTTGTTTAAACTGCGTATGTGTATAGTCCTGATAAAAATAAAACGTAAGGCTATGCGATGGCTCTCACCTACAGTTGTAGCACTCTGGGCTGAGACAGATGGATTGCCTGAATTCAAGAGTTTAAGACCAGCCTAAGCAAGAGTGAGATCCCATTTCTACTAAAAATAGGAAAATTAGCTGGTCATGGTGGTATATGCCTGTAGTCTCAGTCACTTGGGAGATTGCAGCAGGTGGATTGCTTGAGCCCTGACGTTGAGGTTGCAGTGAGCTATGATGACGCCACTGCACCATGCCCAGAGTGACAGAGCAAGACTCTGACCTCAAATAATTAATTTTAAAAATTAAAAGGAAAAAAACATGAATCTTAGGCCAGTGCTGTCTACTATAATAGTCACTAGCCACGTGTGGCTATTGAGTTAGTGAAATGTAGCCAGCTGGAATTGAGATGTACTGCAAGTGTAAAGAGCACACTGGACTTTGAAGCCTTAGAATGGAAAAATGTAAAATCCCCAGAACTCCAAAATCAAAATCACACCTTATCCAAGGGATTTTGGATAACACATTAGGGTCCTAAATCCCATGTTGCCTATTTTGTATTTGCTAAAATGGAGGCTTAGATCCTGTTAATTCGTGGCCAGTGTGTTGCCAAAGCTTTGTGCTTAACCAGCCACCTTCTTTGTCTGCTCCTCTCCCCAGTATGTTGGATGACTTTTCTCATGAGTTGGAAAGCACTCAGTCTCGGCTGGACAATGTGATGAAGAAGCTGGCGAAGGTGTCCCACATGACCAGTGGTATGTATGGTGTTTACAGCTTAACAATCTGTACTTAGTTCTTGACACTCTGCTGGGGGTATTCTCTCACGGCTGTGCCTACACAGATCCTTTCCTGTGGAACATTTCTTTCTCTGTGTCGCTTTAGGATCAGAGAATGGAAAACGTGTGTGGAAGCCTTACCTACTTCTTGCATAGCCTGGGATTGGGTAAAGATGGTTTTTGCTGCCCCCCACTGTGTTTGGTGGTTTTATCCCAGTGAAGAAACTTTCTTTGCAATTACAGAATCCTTTTATTATTATTATTATTTTTTACCTCCTTGACAAAATTGGAAACTTACTTAAGATAGTAATTAGGAAGCCAGTTACTGTTTCTCCTGAGCAAGCTTTCATTGATAGAAAAATACCTGCTACCTCAGAATACAGTGGCCTTGGAGATCTAATATAAATTGTTATTTTTAAATCCATAGTGAAGGCTTGGCGTCCATAGCACAGTGGTTATGGCGTCAGCCACATGCACCAAGGGTAGCAGGTCCGAACCTGGTCCAGGCCAGCTAAACAACAATGACAACTGCAACAACAACAAAAAAGTAGCCTGGTGTTGTGGTGGGTACCTGTAGTCCCAGCTACTTGGGAGGCTAAAGCAAGAGGATTGGTTAAGCCCAAGAGTTTTAGGTTTCTGTGAGCTGTGACACTATAGGATTCTCTAGAGGGTGACATAGTGAGACTCTGTCTCAAAAAAAAAAAAAGAAAGAAAAAAATGGTAAGGCAACAGATAGCCCAAAGACGAAAAGGATCTATTATACGTAAAATAGAGGGAAGCTGGGTGGTGCCTGTGCCTCATAGGGCGCTGGCCCCATATACTGGAGGTAGCAGGTTCAAACCCAGCCCCAGCCAAAAACTGCAAAAAATAAATAAATAAAAAGAAAATAGAGGGAAGCTCCTACTTAGAGTTATTTCCTTCTTTCTCTCCAGGGGCAGATAACCATTCTGCTTCTAGTAAGCTGTGCATTGCCTGAAGCTTTGCATGTAGGGGAAGCAGGCGCCAGTTTAGTTCATCTTTCACACTCTCAGAGAAAGGTTTGCAGTCTTCTTTCTGATTCTCTCAGTTTTCTGCTCATCCGCCCCACCCCTCTGCTTTAAAAAAACAAAAGCTTTAATAAAGTCTTATATAACCAGTTTAAATACCAGGCCTCTCTCTCTCTCGTGTGTAGTAGTCACAAAGTCAAGGAGCTACTTCAGCACCAGTTTTGTTTGGGGAAGAGTAAGTGAACAAAGATGTACTGTGTCTTTGTTTCCCAGCATTCTGGGTATGAATAATTTAGAAAAGTACTTGCATTGTGATAAGCAGCTCAGTGTGTATAAATAGCACTGAGGCTTGCTTATGCTTTATTCTACTTTCTTCCAAAAGGAAAGTTTGGAAAGCAAAGTATGAACTTTGGTTATATTTGTATAAGGAAAAAGAGCCAAGAAGCAGAGCACTTAGCCTGAAAGGCACTTCCATTTCTGACAAGTCACCTGTGTTTTCATTTTAATCTTCACTTGCTACCCAAAGTCCTGCTGAGGACCTCCTCCTGCGTGGCGATATCTGCTTCAGTTTGATGACCAGTTTGATTTGTATTTACCTGGGTTCCCCTCTGTACTTTTTGCAAAAGTTCACTGCTTTTCAGTCAAACCTATACATACAAAAGGAAGTGTATCAAGTCACACCAAAGTTTAAGCATTAATGAACACACACAGGTTCCACAGTTCTTGAGAGGCAGAATATCTACCCCTTCCCTTGGTGGGCTGCTTTGTGGGCAGAAACCAGCTAAGACTCCACATTTACTTTTTTTTTTTTTTTTTTTAGTTGAGACAGAGTCTCGTCTCACCTTGTCACCCTCGGTAGAGTGCTGTGATATCATAGCTCACAACACCCTCAAACGCTTGGGCTCAAGTGATTCTCTTGCATCCCTCCCTAATAGCTGGGTCTACAGGCGCCTGCCACAATGCCTGGCTATTTTTTTGTTTGTTTGTTTAGCAGGCCTGGGCTGAGTTTAAACCCACCAGACCCAGAGCATGTGGCCGGCGCCCTAACCAGTGAGCTATGGGCCCCTAGCCCACATTTACTTTTTTGAATGATTCAAGAGAGACATTAATTGCATTATTCTCCTACCCAGAGAAGTATATATTTTTGAGTAGATACCAAGTTTTTTTCCTCCTTATTTTCCGGTATTCAATTCATCTTTTGTCTTTAGGGTAAGAAATATTTTGAGAGAGAGAGAAATAAACTATATTGGAGTTCCCTTTGTTCCCCTCTGACTTTTTGAGGCAAGTCCTGAGTTTGCGAAGCTGCTTAAAACTTGTCAGTTAAAGTCACAGAAGCCCCTATGGTTAGTACCTATATTCCTTCTGTTTGGGAAGTCTTAAGTGCAGGGGAGACGTCTGCTAGGGTAACAGCTCCCTGGTTCCTGCTTCATAGAAGCAACTTAACACTTCAAAGGAAACGGTCTTAAAGGAGCGTTCTTGAGTTGGCCCAGCTTGGGTAATGTGTTTCTCCTTGGTGAAAACCCCTGTTTCAGGCACTTGGAGAAGAAAAAGGGATTGGAGGTGATAGGAGGCTGATGAAAAGCCAAAAAGTGGAAATCTGGTTCATTATTGGGACTCTGGCACTGAGAATGGTGGGATGCCTGGGAGGAGGGAGTCAACGCAGGAGTGTGTGTGAGGTTGAGTGAGGCAGTGGGGCAGGAGGCAGTTACTTACCTGTTTTTGTCCTACGGAGCATCAACTAATCATGTTAGTGAGAGTGGCTTTAAACTATTGTATGTAAAAAGTGCATGTAAACATTTTTTTCTTTCCTTTTTAATTAATAAACTTTACTTTTTATAGCACTTTTAGGTTCATGGCAAAATTGAGTATACTACACCCCCTCTCTTTCCACACTTGTCACCTCCCCCATCAGTGACGCCTCACATCACAGTGGTACATGCGTCTGTTAATGTCAGTGAACCTACACTGACGCATCACTCACCATCCCCGAAGCCCTAGTTTTAGTTAGGATTTACTTGTGTGTGTGTGATTTTGTTTTTGTCTTATGTTACAATCATACATAATTTTAAAACTTGTATATGTCTCTTCCGTTTTACACAGTTTTTCTACAGTTTTACAAAGTTGTTCTACTGTGGTGGTTCTACAGTTCTACAGCTTCTAAACAGTTGTTTAAAGTCAATCCCAAATTATAACTTAGTCTGATTTAGGTAGTAAATAATTCAAAAGTTTAAATTGCAATTTTTTTAGAGACAGAGTCTCACTTTGTCACCCTTCATAGAGTGCTATGGAGTCACAGCTCACAGCAACCTCTGGGCTTAGGTGATTCTCTTGCCTCAGCCTCCCAAGTAGCTGGGACCACAGGCGCTTGCCAGAATGCCTGGCTATTTTCCTGTTGCAGTTTAGCCAGGCCTGGGCCTGAACCTACCACCCTGGATATCTGGGGCTGGCACCCTACTCACTGAGACACAACGCCACCCCTAATTTGCTATTTTCTGACATACTGACTTTTAAAGGCATTTGACCTTACTCATAGATTATCTGTAAGTGTTAAATATTCTTTATTTGACACTACACATAAACCACACTAAAATGCCTTTCAATAAATAAAAGACAGCATTTTAGTAGACCCAGGGAAATTAGATTGGCATAGTAAAGATGAAAAATACAAAGTAAACATCACTACCTTCTCTTCAGCCCTGGCCTTTAATGGGCTAATGAACACCAATTAAAACACCAGTGAGTCTTATTTGGTTCTGAGGCAGTGAAGGGATTTCCTCAGCATTTAAATATATTCACATAACCAGTTACATAAATCTTAATATAAAACCAATTTTCAATAGGTTTGGGGAGAGCAATTTACTACCTTTGTGAAAAGTTGAACAGCACTAATTAAATCTAATCATATCCTCAGAAAGGGAAAATAGTGATACCATTTATTGAACTGGAATCACTATCAAAATCCAAAAAACAGGTCAGATTCATTTAATTACAAGCCAGTCTTAGTTTAATCAGGACTATCCAACAAAAATATTCGTCACTCATTCATGATCTGAATTCTGGTATATGAGACCAATCAAATTATGGTACACATAAAAAAAGCCATGACATCTTTCTCTTTTGTAATAAGGCAATGGCCAATTATTACTCATTAGAAGCTTTTTTTGTTGTTTTTTGCAATTAAAGTGGCTTTACTCCACCTGGAAGGGGCTGGTGGGGTGAGATTCCTGACTAGATCCACCCATTAGAAGCTATTTTGAGATTAGCTATCAAGTCTGCCTGTCCTCCCTTCTTCTTGATGCCAGTGAAGATCATTTTTGTTCCAGGGATGTACTTCTTGGGATTCTCCAAATACTCCATCAGTGTGTCCTCTCCCCGGGTCATGGCTTTGTTCTTGTTGGCATCTGTGTAGAGAGGCCAGAAGCAGCCTAACCTTTCTTCTGCCCAAAGAGAAGGGAGCTTTGGCCCAGTCTTGTGCTTGCCTCCCTTTTCCACAGTAGGGCACTGGGCACACTTCTGAACAAAAATCTTCTTGCCTTTCTCAATATCACCCATACTAAATTCTCTCTTTGGTTGCTGACAGTACAGAAGTTCTGGGCTGGAACCAGGCAGTCCCACTCTCTTATGTCCAGGGTTCTCTCTTTTCATTGGTACATATTTTGGGGGTACATGTGATAAGGGTTCATTCTTGGTGCTGTACCTGCTAGAGTTGTGACAAATGTATAATGATGTGTATCCACAATTAGAGTATCCTACAGACTGGTTTCTCCACCCTAAAGATTATCTGTGCTCCTCTTATTCAACCTTTCCTCCTCATACACCCCTAGAAACCACTGATCTTTTTACTGTCTCCATAATTTTTTTGCCTTTCCAGCCATGTATGTATTTGGGATCATATAGCATGGAGCCTTTTCAGACTGGCCTCTCACAGTTTCCTCTACGTTTTCATGGCTTGATAGTGCACTTCTCTTTTAGCATTGAATAATATTTCATTGTCTGGATGGACCATAGTTTATCCATTCACCTACTGAAGGACATCTTAGTTGCTTCCAAGTGTTGGCAGTTATGAATAAAGCTGCTATAAACATCCATGTGCAGTTTTGTTTTGTTTTGTTTTTTTGCAGTTTTTGGCCTGGGCTGGGTTTGAACCCAGCACCTCAGGCATATGGGGCCGGCACCCTACTCCTTTGAGTCACAGGCGCCGCCCCTATGTGCAGATTTTTATATGGGCATAAGTTTTTAGTTCTTCAGGTAAGAAGCAGTGCAGCTGCTGGGTGGCAATGGTCAGAGTGTTTTAGTTTTGTAAGAAATTGCCAAACCATCTTCTGAAGTAGCTATACCATTCTGCATTGCCACCAGGAGTTGTTGTATTACCTTCTAGGAGTTTTATAGTTTAACATTTTACATTTAGGTCTATGATCTGTGTTGAGTTAATTTTTGTGAAAGGTGTGAGATCTGTGTCTAGATTTTTTTTTTTTTTACATGTAGACATCCAGTTGTTTCAGTACCACCTGCTGAAAAGACTGTCTTTGTTCTGTTGTCTTGCCTTTGCTATAATACTTTGTCAAAGATCAGTTGACTTTATGTATGCAGGCTCATTTCTGGGCTCTCTCTCCTTTCCACTGATCTAGTTGTCTGTGCCATTAATTCCACACTGTTTGATTAATGTTATAGTAAGTCTTATAGTTGTACCATACTTCTTGGATACTCTGGGCCTTTCTTTATTCATTTCTTTTTTCTTTCCAGGTTTGCAGGTTTCTATTGATATATCCTTAGGCTCAGAGATTCTGTCCTCAGCCACATCCAGTCTCCTGATGAGTTCCTTAAAGGCAGTCTTCATTCTTGTTACAGTGTTTTTGGTCTTTAGCATTTTTGATTCTTTCCTGGAGTTTCTCTCTGCTTACATCATCCATGTATTCTTGCATCTTGTCTACTTTTTTCGTTAAAGACCATGACATATTAACCATAGTTTTCAAAATTCCTCATCTGGTACTTCCAATTCCTGCCATGTCTGACAGACTCTTGTTCTGATGATGGTTCAGTCTCTTCAAACTGTTGTTTTTCCCTTTGAGTTTTGTGTTGAAGGATGAACATGATACACTATGGTAAATACTTCAGTATGTGGTGGTGAGGGGCTGGGGGGGGATGGTACCCCTGTGGTTGGATTTCGGCCTTTTGTTGAGCCTGTGCCCCGGACTGTGAGCATCACCAGTTTTGCTCAGCTTTTTCACTCCTGGGGGCGGGGGTGGGCAGGATGGTAGAGTGGGCTGGAGTTGGGTATTTATTTCCCTTTCTCAAGATCAGTTAGGGCCTGATAAAACCCCAGGATGTTAGGCTCTGGTTGGTTTCTCCTGAGGGTAAACTTTTAGAACAGAGTGTTCTGGCATATTTCAAAATGTTTATTTTTTTCTCCCCTCCACCTGCCAGAAGTATGAGGGAATTTTTCTCTTGCTTGAGCTCCTGGAGGTAAAACTCACTAAAATGTGAAGGGCACCTTTGATGGGTCCCCCTGGAGTGTTTTTTAATCTCTGATTTGTCCACACTGAGCCTTCAGCAGCTTGTCGTTTGCCGGGCAGTCCCCCTGCCCTGGCGCTGGTTCCTGAGAGCTTGCTGCTCTGGGTTTCTGTCTTGGTGAATTGTGGCTCTCTGTATAACCTGTAGGTTTCTCCAGGTCTGGGGTGCAGCTTCCCTGTGACCTCATCTATTTGACAGGTTTCTGTCTTGGTGAATTGTGGCTCTCTGTATAGCCTGTAGGTTTCTCCCAGTCTAGGGGTGCAGCTTCCCTCTGCACCTCATCTCTTTGACAGATCTACGAAGAGTTACTTTTTCAGTTTGTTTAGCTTTTTACTTTATTAGGACAGAGTGGCAATGTCTAAGCTCTTACCATGCTGGATCAGAAATTAGAAATCTAACAGGTTTAAATAAATTCAAACATGCTACATATTCAGGTTTTCTTTGCCATTGAAGTGGTAGTTAAACAGGTTAAAAGTCTTACCTTTGGTAGGCAAACTGCCTCCCCAGTCCCTTTGGAACAGTCCGACTTCAGAAAAGGAAAGAATATACTTGGGGTCTGTGTCCTTACCCGATTTATTAATTTCTAAATGAGTTTCTGGCATGTCTGAGGTAAACCAAGGTGGTCAACATTTAAGCTACACTTCATTTATTATAATTTGGTGGCAGTTCTCTCATCTGGTTCTAAGACTTTAATATCCATTATGTTTAAAATAACTTTAAGTACGTTTTTCTGTGTGACAGTTTTACAGTCTGTTTTCTTAGAATCAAACCTTTTGAGAATCAGTATGCCTGTATATTTATACTGAAGTGGAACTCATTCCTAGGAGTTGAACTGCATTTTCTTAGGCTAGTAAATTCTTCTATTAGCCTGATCTTTTGTGGAAGACACCAGGGCTCATCTATGGAAAGACTGCTTGTTCTTTCTGTATGTCCCCAAATTAAGGACACATCGTAACATTGACGGAATCCTCTTTGCATCAGGCTTTGGCACCGCACAGTTTGTGTGTGACAGTGTTTGTGCTGTTGTAATTCTCAAAACAACAGCCCCACAAGGCAGCCATTGAGTTTACAGGACCACAATCAGGATTGTGAGCTGGAAGAGGGCTCTTTCTGGCCTTCTATCCCACAGACCCTCCCTGCTCTTGGCCATTTGGATGGACTCTAGCCATTTTTTGCCTGCTGTTTTAAGTTGTTGGTAGGGCAGAAAGTTTCAGAAAAGACATTCTGCTTTCATTTACAAATGAGCTGTCTAAATTACTTTACCTGGCTACTGGGTAAGTAATCTTACTTCTTATTTGACTAGGTATGGTGTGAAATTAATCATGCTCTCTCACTGGAGAGTTTTTCAGCAGTTTATTTCCTGAAGTGACCAGCAATAGCTTTCATCTCCTTCTCCTCCTCTCATTGTCCTCTTTGAGAAAAGAACGTGATTATTGTTAAATTAAATGACTTGACTTAGGTACAGACTTGACTTTGATCTGCCGTACCAATGCCAACACCTTTTTCAGGGACATGCTAACACCAGTAGAAAGCGCACATGCTCAGGTTTTAATTAAAGCCAGAGACAAAAAGCTCGTACTTACTATGAAGCACATTCCCAGGGGACTGGCAGAGTTGTGAGTGTGCATGAAGTGTAGGCCAAGAGCAGAGCAGCATTAGAGGAGCAGGCACCTGGGCAAGTTCAAGATTTCTGCCCCTGTCCCTTGCACGTTCTGTCCCTGATCCTGTACTAACACACCTTAGGGAAGGGATGGTGATGGCACTGGAGGTCAGAGTGTGAGCCTTGCTGACCGCATGTTGCTCTACCAGGGCTCCCTCCCCACAGTGCAGCTACACTTTTCTGCTTCAGACGTGTCACCTTAATTCTGTGTAACTGTATCTTGGGGAATGTGGAATCCCTGGGAGAGCTAATCCTCACATCTTGCTGCCCTGCCTTCCAGATCGGCGCCAGTGGTGCGCCATAGCCGTCCTGTTTGCAGTGCTGCTGGTCGTGCTGATCCTCTTCCTAGTGCTGTGATAGCAGGGCCCGAGGGAGCAAGTTCCTCCTGCACACGAGCTGAGGGAGGAGGAGAAGCGACCACACGCGACGCTACTGTCTACTCACATTCCTCTCCTGGAAACATACTGCTGCACTGACTTTGCTCTGTGTGACCCCACAAGTGAGACAGCTCCTCTGTCCCAGCTGGAAGGACCGGTGGGAAGAGCAAACAGATGACTGCCCTCCTGGTGCTGGCTGGACAACAGAAGCCCAGTGCCACCTGGCCTATGTGAGGACAACTAGCCACTGCTTTGCCTCCCTGGACCTCATTCCCTGAGGAGGGACCCTGAACAATCCAGAAAACGTAGATTCCACTGGTGTGCTGTTGCTCATTCCATGCATCCTTGGCAGCTCTTTTCTTCTGCTCACACCCTCCCCCTGCTTGGACAGTGCACTGCTGTCCCATCAAAACAACCTGTGGGGAATGCCAGCTTCTAGGTATGTTTCATTTCCCATTGCTGTAGCATTTCTAAGCCCCTGAGAGCTGATTACTATTGAGAACAGAGGCTCAGAAACAGTTTGTGACAGAACATGCAGCGTTTGATTTTTCAGGGATAAATGATGAGATAAAATTGGTTTTCCAGGTGCATTTTTTATACTAGGAATAATTAATAGAAAATAATGAAACACCTTGGGGTTTGGGTGGCTTTAATTGATGTGAGCAATTAAAAAAGAGCAGCAGGATTCTGCACTAACACACCCTGGGGAAGGGTGGCTGATGGCACCGAAGGTCAGAGCGTGAGCCTGGCTGACTTCATGGTGCTCTATCAGGGCCCCTCCCCTCAGTGCAGATGGCATTTATAGGGTGGTTCTTACAGTGGCTGAATGGCTCAGCAGCACACTTGAACGAATTAGGATACTGGGTTATCCTCATTGATAGTTATTTTATTCCTGTGGCACTCTACTTTGCGGGGATGGGATTGGGAGTGGGTAATACATTTATTACATTTACTCAGAAACCATAATGACAAAAAAGCTAGCTCTGGACCAGATTTCTCTTACCCCGTGTGTAATTGGTGAGGGTAGGTGAACTTGGTTCTTCTTCCCTGATGTGAGAACTTGATTTTATCATCCATTCGAATAACTGAGCCAATCCAAATTCAAATGATGCTTTAATTGAGTGTAAGTAGCTGAAACGGCTGAAACACTAAACTTCAAGCTTCTGATGACTTTTCATTTGCCTCAAATGTGTACATGTATTATATATAGGATATTTTTATAGCTTCCCTGGTGAATAATCTGATATTAAAAAGTGGCATCTGGACCCAGAGCTGGAACTCTGCATGGAGGCTGCTGGTCTCTCCTCAGCACCTTCTCTTGCACTTGGAAAGAACAGCAACACCTGGATAGAGTTCCAGCTTTGACTTGGCATTTCCTTGTCTTTTTGGGTGCATTCCTCAGCGCACTAACTTTTTTTTTTGTTAACCTTTCTTTTCCCATGTTTTGTTTTTATTTCTTGTGCTTTTACTGTGGGCTTCCCATCCCCCACCCCTTTTTGTGATTTACAATGATGTGCTTGCCCAGCTAACTTGAATTGCACTTTTTAATAAATATTTGTAACAATTTTTTTAAGAAGGATATTTTCTCTTATTTGTGCTCATGGTAGATAAGGAAATCTGCTTGTTAATGGAAGCTAAAAGCAAGTTTATAAAACTAAAAGGTGGCTGACATTCATGTTTACACTCAGCTCTAATGTTTGACATACAAATAAGTTATTTTCAAATTAGAAAAAAAGTGAATATTGCAAAGGGCTTCAGGTATAGGTTATTTATGTTTTACAAAGTATTAAGACTTACTCAAATAAATTGTAAACTTAGAATAGGGATGGTCCTTAGATTAGAATTAAAACATAAATGTCTTTTCTTAAAAATAAACGTGTACGTTGTCTAAGTACTGTAATCCACACACCACATTACAAGACGCAAACCAGCATCTTTAAGAATTAAAAGAATATTCTATTTAAAAGCCATGCTGCTCCTCTGCTGTTACTAGATTTACTTGACCACACAAAAAGATGATGTGTGTCAGTGGATCCTGGTAGGAACACACCTGGTCATTAATGAGTAAGATACTCCCATTCGTTGGTGCACCAAGTTTTGTGATCCTAAGACTTAATTATGTTGAGATATATTCCAGATCAGCACGGGATCTCACTGATTCAAGGTGTTAGCTAAACGGCAGCTATTGCAGACCGTCTCTAGGCTGAAGCTAGGTAAGGGAACAATTTAGAAAGAAAAAGTCTACTTAAAATGTAGATGCTCTCCCCGTAGGCCTCCATGCACTCCTGTCTCAGGCTGATGCGATCTGGGTCTGATCCTTTTGAGTCCTGACTGGGCAGTTACTGCAGGACCACTGTTGATTTGAAGAGCCTCATTCAGCCTCCAAATGGTGGCAGCTAAAGGGACCAAGTCAGGGGACTTCAATTTATTTTTAAGGACAAATATTTTATTTTCAGTGATCCTAATGTTACCGAGTTTGAGAGGAAACCCAAGTGGTCCCCTGCCCCTGTGTCCTAGAATGGGGAGAGTAAGTGGACAGCAGTGACACCCCACACTACTGTAAGTGCATCATTGTAGCACTTTGGGCCTTTTTCCCTTCAGCTTCTGTACTTAGATACCATAATCCAGTTCTAAAGAACTGGCAGAATATAGTGGATAACAGAGAAAGAGCTGGAGATATACTTATTGGAAGACCTTTTACCTAATTTGGGTGGTAGGATGGGGAATGAACTATTGAGTTTTAAATCCAACTGGAGAACTGAAATACCTTTAGGTTTTCGTCCTAATGTGGGGGCTCATCTCTGCGGACTGTGAAGAATCCCAGTGCTGTGTACGCCCTGATCTGTGTGGCAATTGGAAGTTGCAGCCTGTGTGTCACGTGAGGATTTTCCACGGGTTCAGAACGCATGCCTGAGCTGAAGGGAGAAGAATTGGTAACTTGCCCATTATTCTCTGCTTTTAGCCAGAGTTAAACAGACTGATGGGTCTGGTAGCCAACAACTTGGCAACTTCCACTCCTTCTCACCTCGTGAGATTAGGGGCTGTGAAAAGAAATCTAGTCTAACTCCAACAGAAATCTGTCTCTGTGAAGTCTTTTACCTTCTGTAAGTGGAGGTGGTGGAGCCAAGATTTTTCTTTTGGTAATTTCTCTGGCTACAAAGTGAGACCAGAGGAGTATCTGTTCCTTCTTACCTTTTTGGAGAATTCATAGCATTTAAAGATCGAAAAATGGAACGATAAATAGGAGTTGCTTTTCAACTCTATGGACTTGGTAGTGTTTGGCTTTACCTTGTGTCATGAGATGAATTTGTAAACAAGATCGGACTGTCTGGAAAGCTAAAGTTTAAAATGCGGAATGCACTGCCTCTGATTCTCCCTCTTTGTCTTCTCACTGGCATTTCATTCCCTCCTGGGTTTTTTAAGAAGATTTTCTTTAAAAGGAATGATTTTTGCCCAGGAGAGAGGTGAGACCAAAGGGTTCCTAGACTTACAGCCCCTTCAATCACTACACCGTCCCTCAGCAAAGTCTGTTCCTAAAGACAGTGCCCCCCTCAACGGCCCCGCCCGGCTGCTGGCAGCACAGCAGCCTTTACAGGGAAGTTAGTTACCTTGCGGGCCTTCCCTGTCCCTTTGCTGAATTTATTGAAAGCAGGTGTCTTTCAGTAGCTCTGATTAGAACAAATCAGCTTCACGATACTGGAAAATAGTACATACTAAAATTCAAGGCAGTGTTTTTCAACCTTTTTTATCTCATGGTACACTGGAACCTATAGTTAAACTCCCACGGCACACTTAAATTATGTTGATCTAAAAAAAGAATGTATTTACTGTGCTTTGAGCTTCTTTCACAAATTAATAATCTTTTAAAATTTTTCACGGCACACCTAAGATCGTCTCACAGCGCACCAGTGTTTCACATCACACTGGTCGAACATCACTGGCTTAAGAAGAAAAATAGACTAACTTGAGAAAAATTCAGTTTGAACAGGACTGAATTACTAGAATGGTCATGATGCAAAAATAAGACAACAAAGAGCCATCCATGTGAAAACTGTGCCCTCAAGCCCGGGAGTGAGAGCTGTAGTTCACAAATTCTTGGAGCACACAGCCCATGATGCTTTGGGGCAGGGAGGTAGGCTGGAGCGCGAGGATCTCACTGTTGAGTCTACATAAGTGATCCACACTGTTGCACAACTCAGCTTGAGAAGCACTGCTGGGCACAGCAGGTGAAAGATCCCAAAGCCCCATGCAGCACCCAGCGCATGGGTGTGGGTGAGGAAGCATGCGTGTTAACACTGCAGCTGCGGTTGCTGCGGCCACTGTCCTGCTCTGCCCTCTGGGCCTGATTAGTATAGTTCCTCTGCTTTCTGGAAGTGCCCTCTCATGGCCCGAAGCTCTCACTTCTCTGAGCCTAACCTCCCAGCCTCAAGCATATACAGAGCGGAGATGCCAGGCACAGAGGGTCTCAGAGGAGGGTGCATGGGCAGTTCTTCTGAAAACATGGACTGCTTCCATGCACCACAGTCCTGAGCCAGGCAGGGCAGAGAGGATGCTGAGTTGCAGGAGGCAGCAGTTCAGAGAGCAGGGAGAATTCAGCTGGGAGAATGAATGGAGTCTCAGTGGCATGAATGCAGCAGGTAGTAGCTGGAGTCACCTCGATTGAGAGGCTGAACAGCAAAGCTTGCTATCTAACGTGTGCCTTCCCCTCCCCCCTTTTCTTTGCAGTTTTTAGCCAGGGCAGGGTTTGAACCCACCACCTCGGGTATATGGGGTCAGTGCTCTACTCCTTTGAGCCACAGGTGCCACCCTCTCCCCCTTCTTTTTTTTTTTTTTTTTTTTGTGGACGGGGCTGGGTTTGAACCTGCCACCTCCAGCATGTGGGGCCGGCACCCTGCCCTTTTGAGCCACAGGCACTGCCCTCCCCCTTTTTTATTTTAGACTGTCACTCACCTGAGGTAGAGTGCTGTAGCATCATACAGTAACCTCCAACCCCTGGGCTCAAGTTATCCTCTTGTCTCATCTTCCTGAATAGCTGGGGACTATAGGCGCCTATCACAACACCTGGCTAGTTTTTAGAGACGGGGTCTCATTCTTAGGCTGGTCTTGAACTCCTGAGCTCAGGCCATCCACCTGTCTTGGCCTCCCAGAATTACAGGCATGAGCCAACTGCCTGGCTTGGCTGCCTCCCCCTTCTCAAGTTCCCCAGAAACACGCCCATTCCCCACTCTTGAACTTCACAAAGAAACAATAAGCTTGAAGAGAAGTCTCCGCAGGGCCTCAGAAATGCCTATTGAAGGTCCCTCCTGTCAAGTTTGGCTTCTCATTTGAGAGTCCATATGCTGCTGCAGATTTGGGCAAGACAGCTGGAGGGCTTGATGTTTACCAGGCCTCTGGTGCCCTGTGTAGTGTCAGTCCTTTGCCGGCCACTGGCCAATAACAGCGTGCTCTTCCCACCACCCGGAAAGGATGGTCTCTCTGCTGTCCTCGAGGGCTGCCATTCAGCCATTCCCTGAGTCACTGTACACCCACACTTTGTCTGCTGGAGCACATAGGCCCAGGGGTCTTGAAGATCCTCATGTCAACGCTGGGTGTCAGGTCTAGAGTTGGTTTCACCATAGACTACACGATTGCCCTACCACGGGGGTAATAGTATTATAATGTCTTCACCTTCTGCTTTTCCTTTTCCTTGTATGAACTGGATTCTTTTCTTGAATAGAGAACACTTTTTGACACTTGCAGTTTGAAGATTCTTATGTTAATTTTCTTTTATTATTTAATCCACTTTGTACAGTAGTTCCTCCCCTTCCGCATATCCACAGTTTCACTTCTCAAGGTCTCAGTTACCTGCCAGAAAGCATTACGCCTTGACTTCAGCAAGGGAGCCTTGTGTATATGAGAAAACATCCTTTTTGTAGAGTTGTGTATCCACTGCTTCGAGCAGCCACTGGGGGGCTTGGAACATACGCCCTGTGTACAGTAGGGGACTACTGTGTACTTCACAACAGAATCTTGTACACAATAAAAACATACATTATTATCTGTCAATTTGAAAACAAAAGTTGTGATAACTTCTGGGGTCATTCGTGTGGACTGACTGCCTGAGGTTGGAGCTTCCCTATACTGGATCTGGAGGGATCATCCTAAGAGGGCAACTTTTTAATGATCACTCTGCAGCAGCTGGGTTAGAAGTCGGTGACAGCAGCCACTTGTCCAGTGAGCCACATAGTCACTCCCTGTCAGCTGAGTCACTGAGGCTTTTCCCAGCCCTTGATTTGGGACCACAGCGTCCACTGAAGTACCATGGCTCCAATTAGGAAGAGGGGCAATCAGGTGGCCAAGACCAACTCTTGATAGAGCCAGGATGTGCCTCCCTAAGGACCTCAACCAGGAAATGGAAATACCATGCAAGCCGATCCACTCACAGAGCCTGTCCCAGGGGAGTGACAAGCTGGACAACCAAGCCACCCACTCCCTAAGGGACTATGTGACATGGACTGGTAACGCACAGACTATGGATTTATAGCTGCTTCGTGAGAAAAAAGCAGCGTACAAGCTTTTAGGTATTTTAAAGTACATGAGAAAGTTGTATTTGTTTTACTTTTTATTATTCCAGCCCTTCAAATGTCCCCAGAATTGTCACCTTTAAGCATGTGTCTTCTCAGTGTGTTCCCAGAATTCTTTATTTATGCTGCTATCATGTTAGAAGAAAATAGAGCTTTTACTCAGTTCAGGGAAATTTAGAATCTGGGCTGATACCTCAAAAAGGAAGAAAGGCGAACACTGCTTCAGCGGGGGTGGATGTCTCATTTCTCCCTCGGTTTCACTTCCCTTTCCATTCTGGGGCTTCCCATTTTGCTCGGTGGCCTCCTGCTCCCGAGTTTATTCCCGTGGGAGAAGCCCGTCTCCTCCATGGTTCCCACTCTCTGGCTCCTGTTGGCTCCTTCAGAGGTCTGGCTGCCACCCAACACTTGCCCCAGACCCAGTCGCTCGGCCAGGGCCGCAGGCCAGCCCAGCTTCCAGCTGCCACCCAGCAGCTCAGCTCTGGCTGTCCAGCGCCAGTGGGCTCAGAACCTTCTGGCCCTGAACAGTCCCTCACAGCCAACCCCTGCCCAGAGACAGATGCAGAAGCCTCTACTGGGCTCAGCCCACACTGCCTGGGTGGAAAGGGGAGAGGAAAACGCAAACTGGATCAATTCTCCCTGAAACAAGCATGTACTTCCCAGCTTAGGGACGTGGGTAAGAACTGATGAAATTTGAACTTTCATAACCAAATGCCCCAGTGGTGACAGAAAGGAAATTTTAGACAATATTATAGCTCGGTTGGCCCTGAGAATTAAAAAATATATAGAAAGTATCAGATGTTTGGGCCCCAAGGTAGCTAAGAACTCTTTTCTCAGGTTATACAAAACTTTTCAGGTACTTTTAACCGTGTGAATATACTACACAGAGCTTCTAGTTCATCTATTTTAAATGAATTGGTTCCACCATCACTCCTCCCTTCTAAATCAATTCATTTTAGTGGACAGCTCATTTCTATTTTTTTTTTCCTTTTCTTTTGAGACAAGAGTTTCACTCTCTCACCCTGGGGTAGAGTGCCATGGCATCACCGTAACTCAGCAACCTTAGACTCCTGGGTTCAAGTGATCCTCCTCCCTCAGCCTCCTGAATAGCTGGGACTACAGGTGCCCACCACAATGCCCAGCTAATCTGTATGTTTTCTAATGGTACAACCAGAGCTCACATGTAAGGTTGGGCCCTACACAAAGATACCTCACTGAAGGCAAACAGGGTCAAAATCCCTTCTAGTCTGCTGGCCTGGGCCAGTGTCCACTGAGAGAAAACGGGGGTAAGGCAAACAGGGTCAAAATCCCTTCTAGTCTGCTGGCCTGGGCCAGTGTCCACTGAGAGAAAGGGCATTTTTCTAATCTGCACAGGTGTCCTATGTGGGTTAGCTGTGGCCCTGCTCACGCCCTCAGTTGTTCCCCAAGTCAGAAACTGAAGAAATGGGCAGGGTTTAGTGTTGTGCTTCAACAAGGTTTATGACAAGACACACTTGATGGCACGTGGGGTTTTCTCTGGCTGTGTGGTAGGGGCTGTATGCAGTGTCCTTGCTGCTCAGCCGTGCCAGCTGCGGGAAGCAGGGCGGGAACTTGCTGGAGAGGGAGGCTTCAGTGAAAGCCTGGCTGTGTTCCCCTCCAGCCAGTGTTGGGGCTTCTCTCTCAGAGGCCCCCTCCCCCAGCGTGTTTTCAGAAATCTCCTGTCCAAGGGACACTCGGGTGTCAGGGTCTGAACTCGTGTTTCACCTACCGGAAGGCATCAGCGTCTCCCCTCTGGCAGAACTTGCCCTGCCTTCTACTGAGAACCAAAGAGGGCAGGCAGTGGGAGCCTCAGCTCCGGAGGAGCAGGTGGGCGGACAGATGTGCCAGCAGCGCCCTTCTCCATCAGGGGTGACAGTGGAAGGCAAGAACACTTCTCCTTGTCCTGTGTGAATATATACAGCAGGCCTGGGGGGTGAGCCGTATGAATGGAAGAAAACGGAATGTTGGGACTTAAAGAAGGACATCTCCCCCTCCCCATAACCCACAAGCCGTCCAACACTCCACAGATTGGCTGGACCCGACTCCTCTGACAGTCAGCCAAGGTGAAGGACGAGTCACTTGTCAGTCTGCTGTAGGGTGAATGTATTCAGCCGTGTTACTGTGCTCACTGCCAGATAATCCACTGGGGCAAGAGATGTTGGTGGACTGAAGGGAACCTACAGTGGTGGCTGGGTAGGGGTGTCATAGACTTGTGTCCCCCTATAATCCATGTTTATGTCCTCCTCCCCAGTCCCTCAGAATGTGAGCTCATTTGGAAATAGGCTTGTTGCAGATGTGATTAAGAGGAGGTCATGCTCAATTAGAGACGGCCCCTAACCCAATATGACCAATGTCCTTATGAAAAAGGGAACAGAGCCGTACAATTGACACAGTACTTTGTACACATACTCGCATGTCAGTTTCTGTGAGGGAGGCATTATCACACCTATTTGTTTTAGTCAAGATTCTTGCCCTGTTACCCTGGCATCTTGTTGGTTATTGCCTTATTGGCCCCCTGTCTTCTTGTTTTGTTTTGTTTGAGACAGTGTCTCACTCTGTCACCCTTGGTATCACCATAGCCCACAGCAACCTTAAACTCTTGGGCTCAAGAGATCCTGCCTCAGCCTCCTGAGTAGCTGGGACCACAGGCACCCACAATGACACTCAGCTAACTTTTCTATTTTTAGTATAAGTGGGTCTCCCTCTTACTCAGGCTGGCCTCAAAACTCCTGAGCTCCAGCAGTCTACCCGCCTCAGCCTCCCAAGTGCTAGGATGTAAGCTGCCACCACACCCAGCCTGGCCCCACATTTTCTGGTAACAGGAAACCCTCTCTAGCTATATACAAAATCTTTTGGAAAATCACTCCACCACACTCCAGCTTATGCTTCTGCTGTGAGGTACCAGTGTTCATTCAGTGCCCGACCATAACCCAACTGTGTATTGGTTAGGCTATCCCTGGGAGCCCCAGGTCTGGTCTCTGACCTGTGTTCTGCTCTGTGTGTCCAGGGCACCTCAGAGTCACCTGGAGGGCTCCCTCTGGCCTCCAGTTAGGTACGTCAGTGACAGATCCAAGATCTGGAGGACAGGTTGGGGTGTTAGCCCCCACTTCCCCAGCCTACCTCACTGCAGACCTGCCAGCGACCATGTCCTTCCACGGATACCCAGGTAGCAGCTTTTGCTGGGCTCTGGTACCCTGCTCTTGCCCTTCTTATCTAAGTCGGTAACAGCTTCCCACTGTTGCGAGTTTCTGGATGTTTCACCATCCCTCACTGGTTTCCTCAATTCTGATCATTCTACAGGTGATCCCTTTGTTGAATGCAGGTAAATCATTTTGAATGTATCATTTAATTCTTGCCAGGGCTCTGTGACCCACAGCCAATCTTAGAAGCTTATCCTGATGGTCACATTAGTTGGTCCCAAAGGAGACACATTTTTTATTGGAGAACTCCATTGTTCTGAAATAATGAAGATATAAGAATGTGAGCTTTCTTACCTAATATGGCACAATGTAAGGGTATATGGCTCGCCTCCCAGGTGAGGGGCACAACTACAACCTGGACTCTAGTAACAAACACAAACAATGTAACTATTCATCTGTACCCTCATATTAATCTAAAGCAAAAAAAAAAAAAAAGATAGTTATAAGCTTTAAAAAAATGATATAGCTTTGTGCTGCTAGTCATGCCCCATCTCACAGAGAAAGCCATTCAAATCTTGGTTCTGATTTCTTGGGTCCCCACACTTCCCTGACTCCCACTTTCAAATAGCTTCCCAGTTTGTGCTTAAGCCAGTTTGAATAGGTTTCTGATGCCTGCAACCATTAAGATCAAGACAGTTATTCAGCTGTGAGTGGGAGAGAGACTCAAACTAGTCATCTATTTCCAACACCTATGCTTTTAGGGAGACAGTCCATGTTCATGACTGGCCCAGACGCCACCCCTTCTACCTCCCACAGCCTGGAAAGCCCCTCCACTCTAGATTACTCCTTTGGGAGGTCACATGCGTCCAGGGGCTTACCACTGCATGATATAATGATCATTGCAAATGATCTTATTATCATTTGAATAATAAGATCATACATGAGAAGTTCAGTATTAACTAAAAGTTGACCAATCCAATCGTGTCTTTAAGGTATCAGAGGAGCTCTTAGCCAAAGAGAATCTTATAATTAACCCTCTAATGAAGCCAAGACTGTCTTCTCTGTTCAGTACAGATTTTCACTCCTACTGCTATTGCGAGCCTTCATTACTAAACAATCATGAGAATTGCTCCACCACCCAAAGCATTCCCACCTTACTGTTGACAGGAGATGGATTTGTCTCTCTGGATCCCCCAAAAGAACGGGCCCTTGGAGTCCCTCCATTCTGTCAAGACAAGTGGAATTACTAAATATTGTCACAATGCTGCTAAAAAGCAACCGGGGGAAGTTCTCCTGGGGAGTCACAGATCACAATAGTCCAACCAAAGACACAGACTGCAGGGTAGATTGATGGCAAGTGTGCCCAGAACCCTTGTTCTGGGGGTGCGGGGACAGGCCTCTCTCTCCCCTTTACCTGTTCTTTGGAGCACGTCTTTGCCATTCTCCAGGAATCTCTTTAGCCAGGCGACGCATTCTTCCTCCAGCCAATTCTTCTGATACTGTAACTCTCTGATTGGCCTCCCGCGCCCGCTTGGTGACATGGGCCGCATTATCTACAGCCATCCAGGACAGGCTGTCTTTATCGAAGATAAGAAAATCCTGCCTGTCATACGCATACTGGAGAAGTCCCGGGGTGCTTCCATCCTCCAGCACCTCGCAGCCGGTCATCCTCTGGTAAGTGTGATGCCCTGGACCACATGCCAGCCAGGAGGTGTGCACAGGGGCAGAGTGGGCTCCCAGACGGCAGACTGGGACATGGCTGGACCATCCTCTGCCCTAACTCATCAGCCCACAGGCCTGCCTGGTATCACTGAGACCCTGGGAAGCCCCCCTTCTGTATCTGTGGAGCCCCTACAGCTTGCCAAAGAAACCTGGTGTTCCCTGCCTTGGGGAGTTGTCCTACCAGGGGAATGATCAATTGATAAACTCTGTGGCTATTCTGAGTGTGGTGCAGGAGGGAGAGAAAGGCAGGAGCCAGAGATATCCGTGGGAAAATTAGTGTCATTATCCTAAGTGAGCCGGTCACTACGCTGGGCCCCCAGGAAGTGAGGCACAGACTGGGCAAATTCAGGATGGGAAAGGAGGAGACGCCTGTCAGAACCCGAAGGGGAATGGGATGGGGAGGGGGTGGGGAGGGGGCCGACCACTTGGAAGAGGCACAGGACAGACGAGAGGCACTGACCTCCAGCATTCGGGTTTCCCGGGCTTTGCCAAAAGCCACCATGAGTGCAGGTCAGCAACTGCCCAGGGTGGAGGGCAGCCCGGGCTGTGTGCTGGGTGGGGCCTGGCAGGGCAGCAGTCACATCCACCCGTTCTCACCTGAGTGGTTATGGCGCCTCTGCAGCTGCTTCAGCTCCACCTGGGTCGTCTGCTGCCAGCCCCTCAGCAGCTGCCTGTACCTCTCCCAGTGGCTGGGCACCAGGTTCTCCGCCCTCCAGGGGGCCTTTGGCTTCTTCTGCTGAGCCACACTGTCATACGTGGTGATGGGGTAAGAGTCCACGTACCCCACTGAAATAAGCTCAGGGAGCCCATGGCCGGGATCTGAAACTCCCGGGCGAAAATATCTGCTGCCAGCCCCTCAGCAGCTGCGTGTACCTCTCCCAGTGGTCGGGCACCAGGTTCTCCGCCATCCAGGGGGCCTTTGGCTTCTTCTGCTGAGCCACACTGTCATACATGATGGGGTGAGAGTTCATGTACCCCACTGAAATAAGCTCAGGGAGCCCACGGCCAGGATCTGAAACGCCCAGGCGAAAATATCTCAGAGAGTGAGTCCCTGGGCAGGAGGCAAAGAAAGGAGACATGTGGCATCACAGGCCATCCCAGATCCCAGCTGGTGACAGGCATTCCCCTGACCCCCACACCCCTGCCTCCCGGGCCCCAGCTGCTATTTCCTCTCACAGACTTACAGAACCTGATTAGGGCCTGGAGAGGACTGGGAAGCTGAGGCCTTTTTTGCTGAGGTTTGGAAATTCATGATGACATTTTGTAGGTCATCTCAACTTGTAAGCAAAGTATAGAGCCCCACTCTTGTCTTTGGGGGAAGGACCAGTTGTTGGGTCCACCCAGCAGTCCCCCTGCAGGACTGAGAACCCCGAGAACCCCAGCCCCTTGCCTTATCAGAGGAGCCTCTGGACAGATAAATGAGGACGTCCACTCGCCCCTGCATGCAGATGTCAGAACAAGAACAAGAAGCCCCATGAATATACTCAGGTCTCCTGAAAAAACTTTTTAAAAAACGGTGCTTCTTCTGTTACACCAAACCACCTCTGTTAACCATTTTCTTCCCTTGTCTGCTTTTTTCCTGGCTAAATATGTCTACGTATCCCCACCTTTCTGTGAGGAGTGGGGGACATTCTAAGGCCCCAGGGGATTCCTGAAATCTTAGGTAGTACAGAAGCCATTTGCCACCAGTTGGAACCTATTTTCGTTCAAGCCTTCCACCCACAAATGTGATGCCTTTCCATCTTACCTGAGCACTTAGCAGCACGGTGGCTTTAACTTTTGAAGTTTTTTGTCACCCTCAGTAGCATATTCATTGATGTGGATGCTACCTGCCTGTTAGTCACTTAGCCATCTAGGCTGCTCACAGCAACTTTAAACTCTCCGGCTCAAGCACTTCTCTTGCCTCAGCTTCCTGAGTAGCTGGGACTACAGGCGCCCACCACAATGCCCAGCTATTTTTAAAGATGAGGTCTTGCTCTGGCTCACCTTGGTCTTGAAACTGTGAGTTCAGGCTATCCACCCACCTCAGCCTCCCAAAGTGCTGGGATTACAGACGGGAGCCACCGTGCCTGGCCCTAACTTTTGCAACAGCAAAACTAGCAGGAATTTTTTTCCCTTCAAAATTCCAGGGATAGAAGATTCTTACTTGTAGATCTTAGCACCCTCAGCATCATCCCTTCTTTATACTTGAGAACTTTTGCCTTTTCAGTTAAAGGAAGCACTTTTCTTTCTTTCTTTTTTATAAAGGAAGCACTTTATGGCCCATCTTTGGCATATCCAAATTGTCAGCATCATTACTCTTGTTCTTTGGGGCCATTATTAAGAAAAATGAAGGATAAACCAGTAGCACCCACATCCATGAATATGCTGGAAAAAGGAGATGATTCGTGTCCCGGGCAGGGACTATGTGAGATTTCATCATGCTACCCAGAATAGCAGGCTATTTAAAATTTGTCAATTGTGTATTTTGGGGATTTTTCATCTAATCTTTTTGGACCGAGATTGACCTCTGGTAACTGAAACCATGGAGAACAATTCCTCGGATAAGGGGTGAGTCCTGTCTACACTGTGGATGGGTCAAATCTAACTAACACGTGCCTTACCTGTCATCCTTATAAAGGTCTAGCTGCCCTTATTCTTACCTCCCATCCTTTCTTTCATGTCCAGCTGCCCTTATCCAATTCCCCGCCTTCAAAAAAATATGTTTATGTTTAAAGTAATGAGTTCTTATTCTTGTGAGGCCCACCTTGGTTGGTTGTATGTAAAGAAGGGTGCTGTTCTCACCTGTTTACTTGGTGAGTAAGGCTAACCCAGAAACTGTGTTCTCTTGTGCTCTCCAGAAAACCAAGAACTCTTTGAGTAGGAGAACCATTCTTTACTGCTGTGAATCTTATGACTGAAGCCAGTGCTTGGTAACCAGGGTGAGGGTGCCACTCCAAAATAGCTGACTTCTGTAGTTACTGTCTTTAGGGGTAAACTCGGAGGCACTTGGGATCATTTAGCTCAGTCCTCTGGCTAGAGGTGAAAACAATTGCAGCTCATCTCAACATACATGGGGGTCATTTGGTGCACTGTATTCGGGACTTGGCCATTGGGAACACCATGCTTTCTGGGACGAGCCACTTAAAGCCGACCTCGGCCACATACCTGGAAATAGACTAATACCAACTTGCCATGCTTGCTCCTCACCATGGGCAATTCAGCACCTTGGTCAGGTTGCTGCAATCTAGATAGATCTGGGAGTTCTCTGTTATATTATAGTCTCTTTACTAATACGAGATATGAGGAGGTGTGAGGAACAAAGAAAAGGACTTGGCTTCCCTCTGCCATAAGCTGACATGTTGCTGCATTTTCCTTCTGACACAACCTTTGTCCAGAAGTACCCTTCCCTGCAGCTGTGTAGATGTCAACTGTGCATGGACTGTGACTGTTCCAATTGCCTTTCCTAGTGTCTGAGTTTCACGTAAACGTTTTATGGACCTGGTCTGCTAACTGCAGCCAGGCCCTTGCAAGAAAGAGTATTTTACCAATTTTTTAAAGCTTATAAGCCAAACACCACTTGGTTATTCCCGGGGATGTTTAAGGATTAACACAACCAGCTTTATTGTTCCCTGACCATTCCCTGACCTTAATGGCAGCCCAGCCCTTCACTCCAGCCAAGCTTTCTATCAGCCCTGGGGTGGGACCAAGTTCAGGGTTGTTCTTTCCTGCTCTGTAGAAAGTAGATTTTCTCCTAGACTGAAAGGCAAGTGTGACCCTGCAGTTAAGGTCTGTTCTGGGAGAAGCAGATGTCTTCATCTTCAGGAAAACAGAATATCTGTGCCCTGTCATCCGTGTGGGGTGAGGGAATGATGGCCAGGTGTCCTGCTAATAAGTTTTTGGAACTGGTTTTGGAACTGGAGCTTCACGAGATTACTTCCTAACTGACACAGACTGGGCTTAGCACTCCACAGACTTCCGAGAATGCCCAGGGTAAGGGGTGGTCTCAAAGCCATCTAGGAAGCCGCCAAGGAAACCAAGCTGTAAATGATTATGGATTCAGTGTTTCTAAGCAGAAATATGCTTTCACTGGTTCTTTTGTAATTAGAAATTAGTGTAATTCAAGAACAGAATGTATAATGCATGACAAAACTCAGCAGGACTAAACCATTATATTTTTTTCCAAGGATAGATAAACTTATAGTGTTTTAATTTTAAGTAATTAGAAAGTACAAACTGAAGAAGCCGTGATCAAGAATTAGAATTGCAAATGTCTGGGTGGTTTCCAGATGGTGCTTCTCCCCCACACACACACATAATGAAAGGGCCTGAGCCCCCGTGCCAAGAGTTTACAGCCCTGGGCCACTCGGGGATTTTTTTGTTTTCTCTACGTGGTGGGTCTCCAGGTGTGGGGTGGAGCCAGCAGCCTGATCACCTGGAAACTAGTTAGAAATGTAAATCATTAGGCCCCGCCCCAGACCGCCTGAATCTCATGCTCTTAAGGCAGGGGCTGCAATTGTTTCAACAAACCCTGCAGGAGGTTCTCTGTGTGTGCTCCAGTTTGAGACCCACCACTCACCAGCTTTGGGTTATCAGGAAACCTCCCTGCAAACTAAAACATTGTCCATGGGTTTGATTGTAATCCTGTTGTGGACTGAAATTTGATGACCCTATAAACTTAAAACACTTAAGAAAAAGAAAACTTACCTAACAAATGCAATCAGTGTGACCTGGTTTCTTGTACCCTCAATGAATCCCCAACAATAAACAAACAAAAACTTGTACAAAAAACCAAAAACTCAACTAGCCATCCTTAAAAGTGATATTTTTATTTTTACACCCTGAAGTCTATCAATAATGTTTCTTACTTCTACTCTTGAAATCTCCACTTACAACTGTGTAAAGAATATTGTCCAGTATTAAAGAGAAATGGAGAGACCATGAGCTTCGTCCTGGGTGGTTTTTGTTCGGCTGATGAGTTGGCTGTTTCTTGTTTTTAGTTCTTTTTATACCTAACACAACTCCCTCCTTCTCCTCCCACCCCGGCAATAAAAGACAAGTGCATCTGCCTGGAGTAGGGCAAGTTTGTGACTGCTGGACAATCTGAATTGTGCTTTCTCGAGCTGAGCAAGTTATACAAATTCTTAAGCCCCCAAATAACCATACTGTGTATTTAAAATATTACACAGTACAGAGTTTCACTTGGAACAAGGAGTCTGGGGAGCCAGAAATTAGAACAAAAGGAAGCAAGTCTTTTATCCACCTTTTAGGGAAGTGCTGGCAAAGGAGAACATTGGCCGACCAGACCCGCATGGTGGCTGAAGGAGCCTGCCTTAAATTTTATGAGGGATAAGGAGTCTGGGCAGAGCTCATGATCATTCCGTTGGCCACTGTCATCCTTACTAATATTCACTGAGTGTCTTCCATGTGGCTGGCATTGTTACAGATACTTTCTTTGTATTAACATAGAATCCAGTGATTTTTCTTTTTTTTTTTAAGACAGCCTCAAGCTATCCCCCTGGGTAGAGTGCTGTGGCATCACAGCTCATAGCAACCTCCAACTCCTGGGCTCAAATGAGTCTCCCCGCCAAGTAGCTGGGACCACAGGCGCCTACCACAACGTCTGGCTATTTTTTGGTTGCAGTCATCGTTGTTTTGGCGGGCCTGGGCTGGATTCGAACCCACCACCTTAGGTGTACATGGCTGGCACCTTAGCCACTTGAGCCACAGGCACCGAGCCAATCCAGTGATTTTTCAACCAAAGTGCCACCATGTGTGTGGTGAAAATGTTTAAAGATCATTAATTAAATTTTGAAAGATGTTCAAAGCACAATATGGTTTTTTTTAACTCCTTTTTTTCTAATCAACAATTTAAGTGTGCCGTGGGAGTTTAACTATAGGTTCAAGCATGCTGTGAGATTTAAAAAGGTTGAAAAACACTGCTATAATCCTTAAGATGAGACGTTTCCTCATCTTTTACTTGAAGATTTGAAATCTGCAGATGAGGAAACTGGGACACAAGAGAAGTCCTTTTCCCAAGGTCACACAGCTGGTGAGAGGCAGAGAAAGTAGCCCGTCAGTGCAAGTCCTTAGCCTGATT